GCTATCATTTCAGGGATTTCCACTCATTGGCCTCTGATTTCCTCTATTTCTTTCTGTTCTAGACTTGTCCTGGATGGGCTGGGCAACTGGAATTGCATTTTGCTTTTTCATCTTGTCATTTTGTATTTTATTTTGTTTTCCATGATGATGCTTCTAGATTTCTATTGTTAGATAGCCTTATGACTGAGGTCAAGACTTTCCTAGGAGGTGTCTGTTCCTCAGGGTGTCTCCTCTAGCTGGTACCACCAGCACTTCTCTCACCAGCACCAGTGTACTACTCTCAGCAGCACTGCTGTATTTCCCTCACCAGCAAGCTGTCCTGGGGACAATGGAGGAAGCACAGAGCGTGGACCTGCCCTCCACTCATCAGCACCACTGTTCTGGGGCAGTAGAGGAAAAGTAGAGTATGGACCTACACTCCACTTGAGGCCTCTTGCTGGCACTGTGGTCCTGGAAAAAATGGTGGGAGGGCAGGCAACTCATATTCTAGTAGCCGGCACCATTGTCCCAGGGCATTGAAGTGGACAGTACAGACTCACACTCAACTCACCAGCATTCCTTTCCTGAGACAATGGAAGAAGCACAGAGTGCAGATTCGCATTCTACTCGCCAGCACTGATGTCACAGGCACAGTGGAGGAAGAGCAGGGTGCAGACTTACACTCCATGCGCAAGTGCACCAACCTCCAGGCAACAGAGGAAGCACAGAATGCAGACTCACACTCTGCTCACTCTGCTCACTGGCACTACCTTCTTGGAGACAGTGGAGGAAGGGCAGATCGCAGACTCACACTGTGCTTGCTGGCACCACCTTCCTAGTGATAATGCTTCTTAATGTTAATATTTTAAGCACCCGCACTTTCTTTGGCCCCAATTTTACATGAACTTTCTTTCTGGGAAAAAAAATTTGCTCCTAATTCTCTCTGTACATCTGTTTAAAAGCATCCAGCAGTACTCATGTCGCAGCCTGAACATTAGTCTGCTTTGAAATCTCTCTGCCACATTATAAATTCAGCCTCACACAACATCTTGGGATATGGGCACATACAGACAAGTTCTTTGCCATAATGTATCATGCATGGTCTCTAGTCCAGTTTCCAATATAGTCCTCATTCCTATCTGAAATCATTGGGGCTAGCCTTTACTGTCTGCATTCCTATCAGTATTCTGGTCTTCTCAATTCAGAATTTCCTAACAAGCTCTACCTGTTTCATTCCAGAACTTCAGTAGCCTGCATCTTCAAACCTTTCCAACTTCTGCACAGAAGTTCCAAAGGTTCTAAACCACAGGATCAGATACAATTATAGCAACAATCCCACTCCTTGTGCCAAACTCTGTATTAGTCAGCTTTCACATCACTGAGACACAATAAACTAACACTGGAAATTTAAAAGAGGAAAATTTTATTTTGATTCACGATTTTCAGGGATTTAGTCCATGACTGGTTGACTCCAAAGAGGCAAATGGCATGATGGAAGGGAATGACAAAGGAGAACTGTTCACCCCATGGCAATCAGGAAGCAAAGAGAGAGAGGGGAGGAGCCAGACACAAGAATATTCTTGTCACAGCCCCAGTGACCCTCCCCTCTCAGGTAGGTCTGATCTCCAACCCAGGACAGTTAAGGGAACATTTTAAATCTAAAACCATAACATTAAACTGTGGCAAAACCTTTTTTGAAAACATATTTTTGGGCCAGAATTATTTTAAACTGTTTATGTTCACTAAATTAAGTTGTACCATGAACATCATTCCAAAAATGTTTTCTGTTTCTGGGGCTTTCTTGGATGATTGTGAAACTATCATGGTTTTTTATTTGCTTTTAATATAATACAGTAATTAGGAATAAAAGCACAAAGTACTAAGGTTATAATAATCACAAGTGAATATAAAAATATATCAATAAAGCATTCTTATAGGTGTGAATTCAGGGACTGAAGTACTGGTAAGAGATGTTTGAGATTATAAAATATGTAGCTCAACATTTAAAAATAAGAAACTTATACAAATACAGAAAATTTATCATTTTGAGTGTAAGCACATTTCTGAAGATGGACAGGGCCCATTACATAATTCTTTTCTAGTAGATTATAAGGCAGCTCCCAGGTTTTAAGGAAATAGTATCTTGACATTTCAATGGTACTTCATCTCTATGTAAGCTCTCTATCTATGATATTTGACTGCTAATAAATTTGATAAAATCACAGGTCTAGCTTGCCAAGGTAATACAATGATTTAACATTAGCAAATGCACTCTATTCATACATGCTACAGACTGAATTATGGTCTTCCTCCAATTCCTGTGTTGAAGTCTGCACTCTCAGTACATCAGAATATGAACATATTAGGAGAAAGGACTTTTAAGGGCTAATAATAGGAAAACAAGGTAATATGGGAAGATCCTATGACTGATGTCCTCATAAGAACAGATTAGGACACAGAGAAAATAGAGGGAAGACCATGTGAAGATAGCAGAGGATGACTAACATCTTCAAGTAGAAGAGGCCCTCAGAAGAAACCAATGCTGCTGATACCTTGACTTTGGACTTGTAGCTTCTAGAAGTGTGAGGAAATAAATTTATGTTGGTTAAGTCACCTGTTCTGTACCACATTTTGCTAATAATCTGATTTTACCCAGAAACTTCTTATTAATATTGCTCCCATCCTTCTGTTGGGAAAGTACTTTCTATAAAAGTACTTTCCTTCCACATCTGTTTGACATGACATAGTTCCTTGTTTCAAGAATACTTCAAAAGGAATTATTAGCTGGTATAACTGCATCTTTTTAACATGATTTGAGAGACACGTACATTGAGGTTATGAAAACTAAGTTCCTATAGTTCCTTAATGATGTTTAATATTTTTAGTTATGTAATGCACAAGAAGAATATAAAACAGAATGCAACATAAATCAAAGAAAATCCATTGGGTGATAAGAATTGAGACACTATGAGAGAGCATTCTAGTCAGTCAGCAAACACTTTCTTTTTTTTTTTTTTTTTTTTTTTTTTTTTTTTTTTCTCTGGTACCAGGAACCGAACTCACGACCTTGCGCTTGCCAGGCAGACGCTTTGCCGCTGAGCTAAATCCCCAGCCCCCAGCAAACACTTTCTGATCATGTTATGCCTCAGATCCTGTTGCAGAAGTTAGGAATATAGCAGTGAGCAAAACCAAGTGGTCTTGCTTGTATTTAAAACTTGAATCAGGCCATATTTGCACTAGGATCAGGAAAATACCAGCTGGTTTCTTGTATTTGAATCTGAGAGTCTGAACCACAACTGGATGCAGGTTGCACCTGCTCTGTGACAGCTAATGTCTGTCAGCAGGGCAAAGAGAAGTATGTTTCAGTGAGAGCTCTTATTTTACACATCTTGGCTGGCTGGGCTGCTGACCTGGAGAATACTGAGGTCCTAGATGTGGGTTCCCAGGGCAATGTTGTGGGGAATAGTGATGATGAGTAGAGACCAAGTCAAGGGACAGGGAAACACTGTTCAAAGGTAGCTGCTGCTTACCTGGGGCAAAATTCATGTATGGAGACTAGTGGCTCAGATAGATGCACCCCCCACTACGGCCTCATGTATTCATAGATGTGGCTTTTGGGAGGTGGTTGGATCATGGGTGTGTGACATTAAGGATTAAGGATTAAGGGCGTGATAACTGGATTAGTCCACTGATCAGATTTAACGTAGTTCTGGGTGTGGCTAAATAGATTTACCAAAGACAGAAGACTCACCCTGGGTGTGATTGGCACCAACCAATAGGTTTGTAGTCTGGATGAAATAAAAAGAGAAACTGAAGTTTATTGCTTCACTGCCTTCGGCTTGCCATGCTGTGGACTGTTTCTCCTCTGCTGTGCCTTCTTGTTTTGAAGCCAGCTGACTATGGACTGAATCCTTTACAAACTATGAGCTAAAATAAGTCATTCCTTCTTTAACTTGCGGGTGTCAAGTGTTTTGTCCTAGCAATGAGAAAGTAACTAAGATAATTTCCTTTTGGGTGGATAACTAGATGAGCACGTGAGGGTAAAGGAAATGTCCTACATCCTCATTGAGATGATGATGGTTACACAGATATAACAATTTCTCAAAAAATTATCAAAACATACACAGTGGTAACTTGGTTCATGAGCTTAATTTGTTCCATGATTTTGGAGAAAATGGTTCTGCTCATGTCCATACAGGGAAGATGGCGATAATTGTGTTCATTACTTGATGTGGAGTTTGCAAATGGAAGCAAGATTTTGCCAAACACTTCCATTAGTGACCTAATTGTTCACAAACAGAAGTGTTCCTGAACCAAGGTCTTATTGTAATTAAACAAGTGCATTTTGTTTTATGTAAACTGTGCCTCTAAATTAGAGTTGATTTTTTAAAGTGAAAAGGAAATAAAGAGCATCACCAATATAATCAATTGCACATTTTTAGTTGAAATCAAATTTTGGTCCTTCTCTGTGATGGTCATTCTGATTGAACTGGGATATTAAAAAATGTCCTTGGCTCTATCTCCAAACAGAATTTTTGTAGATAATTTAAATTACTTATCTAACTAGCTAATTATTTACATTTTTATAGTATGTTGATACTTAAAATTTCAATCTCTTGGGCAAGGGGTGTAGTTCAGTGGTACAGCATAAACTTAGCATGAGCAGGATCTTAGATGCAACCCCCACCACAAAAACAAAACAATAAAATCAATCTCTTCCAATAACTAGTTAAGTGAATGGGACTAGAGTGATAATGATAATCTCATTGTGGTCTTCAGATGCGAATTATATATAGTATGCACAGGTAAGTATTATTCAGAGAATTAGAATCGTCACAAAATAGTTTGTTATGAAGACCACTGTTAAATAAACCAACATTTCTGTTATTCGTCAGATTCACTTCATAACTTTATAGATAAAAAACTTTAGGAATGAAAAGAGCATGAAAGAAGTTCACATTTAGTTCTGCAGAAATGTTTTAGGTATTTGGATAGTGTTAATCATATCATTTAATTTCCAGAGTGCAGCAGCCATACTTTTCTCGAGAGTGGATGATGGAGAGGAAAAAGCATTAGCCAAACAGCAGGAGACCTGGATTTCAAAGTGGGCAGTTAACAGGGATGAGTCGGTTTTACACAACAGGTACTGTGAACCTCTAATCATTTCATTTAGGACATGTACCAGGGTCCTTTAAGTACATATTTCTTAGAGAAACTGTGCTTAGCTTGCTTGGTTTGAGGTTGTTCTTTCATTCTTGGTATATCAGATACTTAATTTTTGTTATCTTTCAAGCTTAAATCTTTGGAGACTATTTTTCAATGGAGAAGAACACAGTTTGCATTTTGGAAATGTTACCTGTGAAACAGTTTAATAATTAAAAGACACAGGTAGGGCTGGGGATTTAGCTCAGCGGCAAAAGCGCCTGCCTGGCAAGCGCAAGGTCGTGGGTTCGGTTCCCGGTACCGGAGAAAAACCAAAAAAAAATAAAATAAAATAAAGAA